CCTTTTGGCAGGGCTTTTGTCTCGGCGTAGCGGGTGAGGTAGTCGGTGGCTACCACGATCCACTTGTTTCCGAAAGCCGACGTCGGGAACAGCCCCAATAAGTCCATACCAATCTGCTGGAAAGGTCGGCAAGGTGGATCAATTGGCTGCAGAAGTCCCGCTGGCCTTGTCGGCGGTGTCTTGCGTCGCTGACAGTCCCGGCATGTCCTCACATAACGAGTGAAGTCGGTTGTAAGACGCGGCCAGTAGTACCTTTCTTGTATCCTCGCGAGCGTGCGAGAAACACCGAGGTGCCCTGCCGTCGGATCGTCGTGCAGGGCCTGCAGGAGTTCTGGTCGCAGAGCTGAAGGCACCACAAGGAGGTGCTTAGCTCGAAGCGGTGAAAAGTTTTTCTTTTGTAGAAGACCGTTTCGTAGAAAGAACGACGCAAGTGCGCGCTTGAATACCTTCGGGACTTCGGCGGTCCTGCCTTCGAGGTATTCTATTAGGGCCTTAAGTTCCGGGTCGGCCCGCTGTCGTTCAGCGAAGTCGTCGGTAGTTATCGTTCCCAAGAAGTAGTCGCCATCCGGGTCGTCGGGTAGCGGTTGGTCGACAGGCGCACGAGAGAGACAGTCAGCGTCGGATTGTTTTTGCCGGACTTGTAAATGACAGTATGTCATATTCTTGAAGTCTCAGGCTCCATCGTGCGAGGCGACCTGAAGGATCCTTCAAAGTGGCTAGCCAACACAAGGCGTGGTGGTCGCTCACAACTTTGAAGGGCCTGCCGTAGAGGTAGGGGCGAAATTTCGACGTAGCCCAGATGATGGCGAGGCACTCCTTTTCTGTTGTGGAATAATTTTCTTCTGCTTTGGATAGCGATCGGCTGGCGTAACTAATAACCCTTTCAAGTCCGTCAGCCCTCTGCACAAGAACGGCGCCAAGACCTACGCTGCTTGCGTCAGTATGTATTTCTGTCTCGGCAAATTCGTCGAAATGGGCAAGTGACGGAGGCGTCTGGAGGCGATGTTTAAGCTCCTGGAAAGCGTGTTCCTGTGGCGTTTCCCACTTGAACTCCACGTCGGCCTTGGTAAGGTTAGTGAGAGGATCGGCGATGCGGGCGAAGTTTTTCACGAACCGCCTATAATAGGCGCACAGGCCCAGAAATCGGCGCACGGCTTTCTTGTCAGTGGGCGGCGGGAATTCGGCGATGGCGGCTGTTTTCCGTGGATCAGGACGAACTCCAGACTTGCTGATAACGTGCCCCAGAAACAAGAGCTCCTCATACGCGAATCTGCACTTTTCTGGCTTCAGTGTGAGTCCGGAAGTCTTGATGGCTTGAAGTACAGCTTCAAGGCGCCGAAGATGCTCGTCGAAACTCGAGGAAAACACGACGACGTCGTCCAAGTACACAAGGCAAGTCTGCCACTTCAATCCTGCCAGTACTGTATCCATAACGCGTTGAAAAGTTGCAGGCGCTGAGCAAAGGCCGAAGGGCATCACCTTAAACTCGAAGAGGCCGTCCGGTGTTATAAACGCCGTCTTCTCTCGGTCTCTTTCGTCGACTTCGATTTGCCAATAGCCAGTCTTGAGGTCCATTGACGAAAAGTACTTGGCGTTATGGAGCCGATCAAGTGCGTCGTCTATTCGTGGGAGAGGATACACGTCCTTTCTTGTGATTTTGTTCAGGCGGCGATAATCGACGCAGAAATGTAGGGTCCCATCCTTTTTCTTCACTAACACCACGGGGGATGCCCATGGGCTCTTGGACGGCTGGATAATATCATCCCGCAGCATTTCATCAACTTGTCTCTTGATGGCCTCACGTTCTCGCGTCGAAACCCTGTACGGACTCTGACGGAGTGGTCTGGCATTTTCTTCGGTTATGATGCGATGTTTCGTGATTGGGGTCTGCCGAATTTTCGATGACGACGAAAAGCAATCTTCGTATTGCAGGAGCAGGGCCTTGAGCTGTTCTTGCTTATCGTTCGGAAGTCTGGGATTGACGTCGAAAGCTATGGGAGGGGCTTGGTTCCTCTGAGCAGGTTCCGCAGAATCGGCGAGGGTGAAAGCGCTGGTGGCTTCGACAATTTCTTCGATGTATGCGACCGTTGTTCCTTTGTTCACATGTTTGTACTCATTGCTGAAATTTGTGAGCATAACCGTTGCTTTGCCTCCCCGCAACTCTGCAATTCCTCTTGCGACGCAAATATTTCGGGTGACCAACAGATGCTGACTGCCTTCAACGACGCCTTCGAAGTCAGGTGATTCAGGAGCGCCGACTGAAATAATGACGCTTGAGCGAGGCGGAATGGTGACCTGTTCTTCCAGCACATTCAAGGCATGGTGTCCAGACGACGTGTGCGGCGGTAGTGCTTCTTCTGTGGATAACGTTATCGACTTTGTTTTTTAGGTTGATGACAGCACCATGGAGGCATAAGAAGTCCATGCCAAGCATGACATCTCTCGAGCAACGCTGTAGGACTACGAAGTCTGTAGGATAAATACGGCCGTTAATGGTGACTCTCGCTGTGCAGATTCCTGCAGGCGTTACGAGATGACCTCCGGCTGTGCGGATTTCAGGGCCTTTCCAAGCTGTCCTAACTTTCTTTAACTTCGCGGCGAACGACCCACTGATGACAGAATAGTCGGCTCCAGTATCGACGAGAGCGGTCACACTGTGGTCGTCGATAAGAACGTCGAGGTCGCTAATTCGCCGTCTCGCATTACAGTTAGGGCGTGGCGTCGGGTCACGGCTGCGTCGGCTTGTTCCGCTGCTTCCCTGTTGCGTCGTCAGGCCACCTTCGGTAAGTGAGCTTTCGCCGTCAGGGCTTTGCCTGTTTGGCGTTGTGTTCGGAAAGCTCCGTCGCGGCGTCGTCGTCGTCGGAGGATCTTCGGTAGTTCGTCGCACAGCAACCGCACCTCCACCGGTTGCTGCCCTTAGTTTCCCGGATACGGGCTAGGAGACCGGCCCCGCGTTGGGCCAGAGTACTGTCGGTGGTGCGGTGACGTGCGGCGGCTGGGCGACGGCGAACGCGAAGGGCTTCGTGGTGTCCACCGAGTTCCTGTCAGGTAGTCGGCGATGTCACGTGGTCGTTCTCCTGGCTGTGGACGCGGTGCGTTGACGGCGAAGCCACGCAGTCCCATCTGTTGGTACTGGCAACGGCGGTATGTGTGTCCGGCCTCGCCGCAGTGGTAGCAGAGCGGGCGATGGTCAGGGGTGCGCCAGACGTCAGTCTTCCTCGGTGCACTGCGCTGGGCCGCTGGCGAACGGTATGACGTCGGTGGGGGTGGTGGCGGCGGTGGCGTCTGTCGACGGAAGTGCGATGGGGCAGCGTTTTGGCGTGGACGGGGAGGAGCGTTGTGGCGCAGTGCAGCGGCGTAGCTCATAGCTTCCGGCTCGGGCAGCGGTGCGTGGGGAATTTGAAGCGATTGCCGAACTTCTTCTCGCACAATGTCGGCGATCGAATCCACTTGAGGCTGCGCCGAAGGCAACAGCTTGCGCAGCTCTTCCCGCACGATCGCTCGGATCGTTTCACGCAGGTCTCCGTAGTTACTGACTTGAGCAGCAGCGCAGTCTGCAGTCAGGCGACGATTATACTGTCTGGTGCGCATGTCCAGGGTCTTTTCAATAGTGGTCGCTTCGGCTACGAATTCTTGGACGGTTTTCGGTGGATTTCTCATCAGCCCCGCGAAGAGCTCCTGTTTGACCCCTCGCATGAGGAAACGAACTTTCTTTTCCTCAGGCATGTCTGGGTCAGCGTGACGGAATAGGCGGGTCATCTCCTCTGTGAAAATTCCAACCTTTTCGTTTGGTAGCTGAACCCGGGTCTCGAGTAGAGCAGCGGCCCTCTCTTTGCGAGCGACGCTTGCGAACGTTTGAAGAAATGCGCCGCAGAAGACATCCCACGTTCGGAGCGTGGACTCCCGATTCTCTAGCCAGGTCCTTGCGGTGTCTTCCAGGTAGAAGTACACACGACGGAGCTTTTCTTCATTGTCCCAGTGGTTGAGGGCGGCCACACGGTCGTATGTTTCTAGCCAGGTTTCCGGGTCTTCGAACGATGACCCATGGAAAATTGGTGGTTCCCTGGGTTGATGCATGACCATCGTGGGCTGGGACGCTGCGGTTGTCATTGTCGCTGCAGTCGCGGTCATGGCTTTGGTCTTCCGCGGCTTGTCGTGTAGAAGCCCGTACTCCGGTGGTAGCCCTTGCTGTCGGCGGCTTGTTCGCTGCTCCTGGTTGGCGTCGGTGTCTTCTCCGCGACGTGGGCTGGGTTCACGGCTTGACGGGGGCGTCCGGTACATGAACGAAGCAGCACCTCCACCAAATGTGACGGGGTCGTGACGTGGCCGAAGACAGGAGACTTCTTGTTGGAATTTAACTGTTTATTTGGGCGAACCTGTGCCCGGTAAACAGAAAGTCCAATTACAGCGGCAGTCCCGCACAGATAGCAGTCTCAAACTGATAGCGGCAAACGGAGCGTCGGCCTTCGATCAACAACTGACAAGCGGCGAAACGCGTCGGCATTTATACTCCCGCCGTCGAATGTTCTAGTGCTATCGCTGGCGGCGGCGTGCGTTCCAGAACAATCTGTACCATTCGCACAGTGGGCGTGATCTTATCGAAATGATCTACTACAGTCCGGAACCCTCTAGAAAACTGCAGGCGCGGTTTGCGCTGAGAATCGTGTGGTGTTTTGGGACGATAACAAAAACTTAGGAAATGGAACGTGGCAATATACAATGCTCTATGAGAATCGGTCCCGGATTCGTCAGCGAAGTGGGGTATTGGGATAGTTGGTTTAGAATGATTGGTTTTGCAGTTGATAGTTCGCACTAGTCATTTCCACTTTGTAACGTGAGTACCCCCCAACTTCTTTTGTGACAGTAATTGTAGTGCCACGTTTTAATCAAATACCTGTTCTAGCCATTACCAGTACATTTAAAGCTAGTACAATTCAATCAAGCTCTATTCTGCTCAGGCTAACATGCATTTGACTTTAAGCATGTCGTGTCAAGCTTACCGGTTAAGCACGTTTGTGTAGAGGCGTGTGTACATTCCCTTGCCAGGTCCACCGGCTGAGAAGGAACCCCCACCACCCATGATCATGTTGAGGACGCAGAAGCCAATGAAGTCCGGATCCTGGTGTGAGCAGCTCTCCAGGCCAAGCACAAAGTGTGCCAGCTCAGGGATTGGGGTTTGTCCAGGGCTCACATCCGACAGGTCCTTTTCCACCTGACAAGGTTAAGGTTCATTCGCTCCTCTTTCGTGCACAACAGAACAAGAGAGATCTACTGCTGTGCAACACAATAAAAAGCAGCGAGAGATGCTGTAACGAGTCCATTCAACATCACTTCCGATCTGTGCTTCTGATTCAACACGGGAATCGAGTAATGCACGTGAACATTTCATCTTGCTTAGGTGGTATTGGCGAGCTAATTGATTGTCTATGATCTGACAAAAGCCACCCAAAAGTTATGAAAACATGGACAAATAGACAAAGATACCGAAAACATAGGCACTGTGTGGTCTCTTTGTTTGCGTGTCAATATTCTCTTAAATTTTGTGCTGCTGTAGGCAGTATCACATTAAATTTCCACTACTGTAAATCGCTAGCTCAGTAGAAAATAAATGGAGGTGGTGAATAGGTTTCGGGTACCTTTTCTGTTTTCTGCACTGAACAAACTAGCTGGCCTATACCCCTGAATAAAGGGACTTGATGTGCCAGTGTGCAAAGTCAAGCACGCAAGAGGCTACGCACAGCTTTCCACTGTTGTTGCAAATATCTTGGACAGATCGTTCAAGGAGTGAAAGGCTGATTGAGAGAGCATGCAAACAATATAAATGACATGACTACACATCTTTCTGCACTGCCGTGAGTTACATTTCTTTTTTTACAATGAAAATCCAGAGTAGTAGTAGAGGCAAAACTGAGCAAAATGCTACAGGCAGGTCATATTCATATCAGGGGTGGAGGCTTTGATTCAACAGACACTCACTTATGGTTTTCTTGATACTTTCAATTAAGCATTCAGTTAATTCAGTGGATGGAGAGCTAAGTGAACACATCTTTGGGTTGTGCAAAAAAGCACCGATGAAGGAGAGTACACAGAATGTTCGCCAGTGTTTTTTGGGGCAACCCAAACATGTGTTCAAGAATGCACCAACTAGCCTAAACGAAAGCTTTACTAGAAAGGTAATGATTTGTTTTACATATTTCATGCTCTGTTTTGTTTATTTAGGTACTTTTTCTTACGCAGTTGTGGGCTTGTGTTCATTGTAATTGACCATTGGGGCTCACGATCTTTTTGTTCTTTTCAAAAACTTTTTTATTGCAGACCATGTGAAGGCCATATATTCACATGTGTGTTCACTGTTTTGCGGATCATGTGTTCACCAGGAGGCAGAAACCAGGTGGAAAACAGTTTTCACTTAGCCAACTATGTTGGTCCGTATTGGTATACCTTTCATACACAGAGCGAGTCTAACAAACTCAAACGGCCTAAAGAACTGTGATGTAATTTTCACTAATTTATATTGCATATGATGCAAAATTAAAGGTAAAAACAGAAAATAAACTATGCATAACATATGCATACCTGCCAAGTTCAAGGATTCTCAATCCGGGAGATTTCCGCAACACGTGGGGGGGGGAGTGCACTGAATTATTTGCTCCTATTTTTTTTTTGGCACAAAAAAAACCTAAGGACAAGGAAAAAAAAACAATCGCGAAAAACAAGAGGGGATTGGAGGGGGGGGGCTAGGGGCTCTCAATCAGAAGCGCAGACATCAGCGTTCAAGAACAGTTTTTTTTCCTAGAGTTATTGAAATGTGGAATGACTTACCCGGTAGTATTCGTGAATTATCGTTGTCGGAATTTGTAGACGCACTATTATAACTTTTTTTTCATGTCAACCCTGTAATCAGTGTATTTTGTTCATGTAATATACCCCACTCCTGCAATAGCCCTGTATTGGGCTGCAGTATTTGAAAATAAATAAAAATAAAATAAAAAGCTTTGCTCGCTACTAGATTCTTTAGACAGTAATGCCAAAACGCACCTCGCCCCCTTTTTTACAATAGCAATTATGTGGACAGTTTAGGCTGTTTTTTTTTGCCGTTATTCACCTTTTATGTATACTATATATATTGTCACGACGCAGACACAGCAGAAGTCGAATATAGGAGAGCTCACTTTGATTACATGTTAGGCACTCGAAAAGAGGACCGGGGAGGAACTTCATCTTCCTTTCTTGCTGCGCGAGCTCTGCTCTGCAGGTTGAATGCGGCATTTGCCTCCCTCCAGGAAGAGCATCGTCCGATGCTTTGCTACAAAAATATGCTGTGTATATAGTTGACGTATTATGCAACTGGCTCACTGCAATAAGGCTTCATCCACATGTGTATGATTTCTGATTTCTGCTGGCGTGTTCGCGAGGAACTGACGGGGATGACCTCATAGTTCACGTCACTTAGGCGCCGCACAACATTGTAGGGACCAAAGTACTTCTTCATTAACTTTTCAGAAAGGCTCCGTCGGCGAATAGGGCTCCAGACCCACACTTTTTCGCCAGGTTGATAAGTGATGTATTGGCGTCGCAGGTTATAATGGTGTGCGTCGTAACTCTGCTGCCGGGAAATTCGCCCACGTGCAAGCTGCCGCACCTTTTCAGCTCGTTGGGGAAAGGCTCGAGCATCGGTGTCTGTATCGTCGCAGTCGTGAAGCAACATGGCATCAAGCATTGTCGTCACTTCACGACGATAAAGACGACTAAATGTCGTGCTTGGGGTAGTATCCTTGTGCCGTATTATAGGCAAACGTCACGTATGATAGAACGTCGTCCGAATTTTTATGATCCACATCGATCTACATACTCAGCATATCCGCAATTTTCTTGTTGAGGCGTTCTGTTAAGCAGTTGGTTTGTGGGTGGTAGGAAGTAGTTTTTCTATGCGCTGTTCCATTGAGCTCAAGCACCGACTTGGAGAGCATGGCCGTGAAAGTGGTACCTCTGTTTGTTATTATAATCATAGGAGCACCATGCCTCAGAACAATGTTTTCAATGAAAAATCGTGCCACTTCTACTGCGGTTCTGCTTGATAAAGCCTTTGTTTCTGCGTAGGGAGTGAGATAGTCGGTAGCGACAATAATCCACTCGTTTCCAGCATGCAAAGTCAGAAATGGTCCAAGGAGCTCCATTCAGGTTTGTGCAAAAGGCACGATGGGCACTTGAACTGGCTGCAACAATCCGGCTGGTTTTAAAGGTGGCGATTTTAGTCGTTGACAATCGAGGCACGTGCGGACGTAATGCTTTACAGTGCCTGGAAGCTTCGGCCAGTAGTACTTCAGTTGGATTCTGGCCAATGTGCGCGTGTATCCGAGGTGGCCAGAGGTTGACACATCGTGGCAAGCCCTCAGGATCTCATCGCGAATGGACGTCGGGACGACAAGTAAGTGGGCACTTCCGATGGAGGAAAAGTTCTTCTTATATAGGACACAACTGCGCAAGCAGAATGACGTCAGGCTCTTTACGAACATCTTGGGAACGCTTGTAGACTGGCCATTTAGAAAATTAATAAGAGGAAGCAACTCGCTGTCTTCTCTCCGCTTAGACAAAATGGTAACTGTGTCAACCACTCCTAAAAACGCCATGTCATCCTCTTCTGGGACATCGTTTTGCTTTATAGGTGACCTGGATAAGCAATCAGCATCGAAGTGCTGTCAACCCGACTTATAGACGACCGTCATATCGAATTCTTGAAGGCGTAAGCTCCAGCGCGCTAGCTGACCAGATGGGTCCTTCAAGTTGGTCAGCCAGCAAAGGGAGTGGTGGTCGCGGACTACAGGAAAAGGACAGCTGTAGATGTATGGGCAAAACTTCATAACTGCCCAAACTACAGCAAGATATTCCTTTTTTGTTGTGCAATAATGAGACTCAGCACGGGAAGGCGTACCACTTGCATATGCGATCACTCGCTCGGCTGAGTCATTGCCACTGGACGAGTACAGCACCTAAACCTACATTGCTGGCATCGGTATGGATCATGGCAGGAGCGTCCTCGTCAAAGTGAGCTAGAACAGGTGGTGTCTGCAGGCGTTGTCGTAGATTGTCAAATGCTGCTTGTTCCTCTTCGCCCCATAAAAATGGAACATTGTCTCTCTTTATGCGTGTTCAGGGCGAGGTTATGTGCGAGAAGTTCGCAATAAATCTGCGGTAGTAGGAGCAGAGGCTAAGAAAACATCTCACGGCCTTCTTATCCATTGGCACCACAATTTTTCGGACAGCATCGACCTTGTCGGGGATCGAACAAACATGTTCATGGCTCACCGAATGTCCTAAGAATCTTTTGAGTTCCTTGAAACCGAAATGATATTTCTCAGGTTTCAGCATTAGGCCGGCGGACCGTATTGCATGAAATACTAATAGGATCCATCTTCGATGTTCTTCGATTGTTGCTGAGAAAACAATGACCTCATCGAGCTATACCAGGCCCATCTGCCACTTAAGGCCTGATAGGACGGTATCCATCAGTCTCTGAGATGTTGCTGGAGCTGAGCACAATCCAAAGCGCAAGACATTACACTCGTAAAGCCCATCAGGTGTAACAAAAGCAGTCTTTTCTCTGTCCCACTCATCAACCTCCATTTGCCAATAACCGATTTTCAGGTCCATCGATGAGAAGAAGCGTGCATGCCTCAGTCTGTCAAGCGAATCGTCAATACGCGGTAGTAGGTATACGTCTTTTCTTTGTCACGCGGTTCAGCTTGCGGTAGTCCACACAGAAGCGTAAGCTGCCGTCTTTCTTCTTAATCAGCACTACCGGTAATGCCCAAGGGCTTTTTGACGGCTGAATAATGTCATTGTCGAGCATTTTCTGGACTTGTTCTTGGATTGCTTCGTGTTCTTTCGGTGCCACCCGGTATGGATTTTGTCGAATAGGTCTTGCCGTCTCTTCCGTTATAATTCGATGTTTCTCAGTGGCACTCAATTTACCCTCGAGGTCGATAAAAAACAGTCTTCAAACTGGCTGAGAACATCTACAAGACTCTGCTGCTGTGCTAGTGATAAATCTGTGCTCACATCAACAAGTGGTAGTGCTGAAGCGGCTCGCGTCTCTGCCTGTAGCACTGCGAAGCGCTCGAAGAATTCTACAATTTCTTTGAAGTATGCAACTATAGTACCCTCTGTAATGTGTCGACGCTCGTAGCTGAAGTTCGCCAACAGGACCTCTGCTTGCCCAGACACTACACTGACGAGAGTTCTGGCAATAGCAATGCCTCGAGAGAGTAAAAGCGTCAATACTTGATCCGCTACACTTTCTCCAGTATGCTGCGTGTTACACGTGACAGAGACGAAGTGGCATGATAACGGTGACATGGTCACGTCGTCAATGATGCGCATGGGCTTGCGCTGCAGCGCTGCACTATGGTCCGCTGAGAAGGTCAGTACAACGTCCAGTATATTTATGATGGCACCGTACTCCTGCAAGAAATCCATACTCAAGATGGCCTGTTTACAACACTCAGAAAGAATAACGAAGGTTGCGACGAATGATGAATCCCCGACTTGATTTGTGCGGTGCATTTTCCGGTTGGTGCCAGCAGCTGGCCTTCAGTTCCTCTAATTCACGGTCCCGTCCATTGCATTTTAACCTTCTTGATTTTGACGGCCAGATTCGCACTCATTATTAAAAATTACGCATCAGTGTCGACCAGTGCCGTCACGTCATGATCGTCAATTGAAAGTGTAATGTCGGGGGTGACAACCTCATCTTTCGTCAATTCTTTCGAAATTTGCAGCGCTTCGTGCGGCGGTAATGGGGGATTTTTCAACCTTTCGGCATTTGTTAGTTTGTACTCATCTTGTTAGTTTGTACTCTTGTTTGTACTCTTGGGACACTTGTTAGTTCGTACTCATCTGTAAATAAAAGTTTATCCAATCCAATCTGTACTTGTGATTACGTATCGTGCATCGTTTTTGTTTAAACAGTGCATTACGAGTCAAGCGTTAAACGTTGTTAGTTCACCCTCGTCCTGTGTGTAACGTTTTGGTGCGTCATTTGTGCATAAGCAGTGCGCTGTGCGTTTTTATCTGCTTGCCGTTCCCAGCGTGATATTCCAAGTTCTTGTTGTCACATTCATTGCTTAGCTCATGCAGCGAAACTGACTTTTTTTACGTATTTACTGCCTTTAATGTACCACTGCGTGCCCTCGGAGCTCGCAAATGCGGATTTGTGCGCGCCGATTACGGCAATTTCTTTAACAGTCCCCATGCGCTTGGCTGCACACACGCCTTCAAAACTAAGACGTTTCATGCCATCTACGATCGCATCTGCCGCAGTTTTGTCTGCAAAGTTTGCGGAAAGCAGCGTTGCTTTGACTGGTTGAGCGCACACTTTCCGGGGTTTGTCAGTTACGCTCTCGCCATACATGATTTTCTCAAGAGTGACCGTGACTTCTTCCACAGCAGTTGTGGCAATGACAATCACATGCACTGCAGAGCACAGTGCGTGCGCTGGTCGCACGCATACTTCTGAAGCTTCGAGTACGCTGCTTTCGGCCTTTGTTTGACAGTTTCCATACTAAAGTTCGCATCACCCGCCGCGTTTAGGAAATGTGTTTGGAACATTTGAATTTAGGCAAATTGGACACAGTGGAATTTGGCTGATGAATTTCACGAATTCATATCTGCCGTGGTTTCGAATCACTGAGATTCTTCTGTACATTTAAATAAACGCCTCCTAAACAGATTTTTAATAAAATGGGGTAGGTTCGAAAAGCCTGGAGCAGATTGAGCTGTTTTTTTTTTTTATCTAGATCACAGACAGAAATTTCGATTTTCGGGAGATTTCATGACAACTGTACAAATGGAAGAAACGGTCGAACTGCGGGAGTCTCCCGGCCAATTTGGGAGACTTGGCAGGTATGCATGCGCCAGTACTCATTTCCTTTATACTCGGCTTATGTACCGATATCTTTTTGGATTTCATGTCTCTATACTTGACATCTGTGTTTGCTGCATGGGTAGACAGACTAGCTTGTGGTCCTTTAAAGCTCACCAGCTTTAAAGGGTGTGCTATAAGACATTGCACCGATTATAGCTAAGTTGCTTCTCAGTCAGATGAGAACAAAAAGAAAGAATTGCTTTTTTATACAAAATGCCAGAAGAACACTGAACACAGTGCACTACAATTTGCATTTTCCAAAGTGCCATGGTGCATGGGCCTTTTGTGTAGCGAAAACGTTACAAAATGTCTTGATCTGGTCTTTGCCTCCCACTTGGAGGCTTCTGTTTTGGTGATCCCAGATGAGCATGCAACACTACACCCAACCACAACATTTCCAGCCTCAAAATTAACCTGCCTATGTGACACACTGCAAAGATTTTGCATAGGATCACAGTATCTAAAATACAAAAACAGGCAGATTTATTGGCCCTCTCCGGTACAGTCACATCAACCGCAGACCCACCTTGACCACACCACCCGTGTACTGTGCAATTGATGTGTCTGGTTCCAACTTGGGGTCCAGAATTAACTCTGGGTTCTCCTGCCAGATAGGCACCCGCTCCACAAAGTACCTGCACATTGGCATCGTCAGTCACTTCCAGTAATACACATGATGTACATAAAAAAACACATCATAAGGGCACACCACCCAGTGACCTTCAGGTGAAGTCTTATTGTGCTTGCTTCCACCTTGTAAAAAACTAAACACAGACGTTCATAGCAATACCTTTACCTGGTCTTTTCGCCTGCCCCTTGATCAGGAAAATGGGCACTCTGACCAATTTAAAAAGTTGCTTACATTGGATAAAGGCCTCCGTCACATTTGGCGTGGAAAACACCTTGGAATCAGTCGGACGCTTCCCAGAAACACAGAGCCAAAAAAATTTCTCGAAAAGCTAAAGTAACACTGGAGATAACACGACTTTGCCTGATGCGTTCCTTCTTCATTCTACAGAAAAGGGTAGCGCCATTCACAGCACCCCTCCCAGTACGTGACATAATCTTGTTTCAATGTTGTACGGTTTCCATATAATGTGGGAGTGCTGGCAGCTGCTAGTGGCAACTCACAGCTCCCGTTGGTTGTTTCTCAGTGCACTGTAGCTGCTGTAGCTGTGCAGTCTGGCGCGGTGTCTTCATTCAGAACTGGATGGTGCTTCGAGCATGTGCCGGTGAATTAGTCGCAAGCCGCCATTTCGTGGCTTTGTCCTGGAAGTGAGTGTGCCACCACTCGTTTGCTGGTGGCGGGCCAGCGTTTTTTCAGATTGAAACCATGCCTTCCTGTCGTGCTGTAAACTTCTCATGATGACTAGGAAGGTGATCCAGGAAGGTATTTCATGAGAAGATACCCCCAAATCATATTAACTTTTGCTCATTTTGCAAGGAAATAAGCAGTGAGGTATGATTGGGAGTTGCCAGGATTTTTGTTAGCTCTTCTACAAAATGAAGCGCAGGCGAAGTTTAATCCTTTGCTGCCACCATATGTCTGCGATATAGGTGGCCACACAGCAGGATTTCTGTGCCTGACTCCGCGGCGGCAAATCTCCTATGCAAGCTGTCACTCTGCATCAGCGTCGCATAAATTGGCAGATACGCTCACGTTTCCTCACAAGTGCAGGTGCCACAATGCATGCTCCCATTGGAAAATCCCATGGTGCTGTCCCAGTGCAATGCATAATTGTACGATCAATGTGGCACAGCATTTTGAGAGGCTGGCTGTTGCGACTTCCTTTTCTTCATCCCTAGCAGCAGAACACCAACCATCCTCATTATTGAGCCTCCTCACAAGCTGACAGGTGGCCTCGTGACGCATGGCCTCGCATATTGATTCTCTCTACGAACCAGAAATTTCTCATTTCAATAAAGACGCTCGAGGTGATTAACTGCGTAAGGTAATGATAGTGCACACATTAAAACAGGCATGACAAGTGAGCTAAATTTGAATGTATCAGCACTGTGATCGAAGCATCTGAAGCGTACACAGTCCCATTCTCATGACACATCGTTGCCTGCGAAACTATTTTGCAAGCTGCCACCACATCTCCCATTGCCAAGTTAGCTAGAAAATTGCAATGAGCAGCGGCAACTATTTACGGGGCATGCATCGAAATATACAGCGACGATTCCATGCTGCTTTGCAGTGTGCCCCACCAATTTCATACAGCCTATGCCCTGGTGGCGCCATCTCGTGCCATCAACGTGACAAGTGTCGCTCGTATTCTTTTTCTTACCACCACGCAGTGCACTCTAGTACACTGTACCTTGGGCTGCCAAAGTCAGCGAGAACAAGTCACATGTGCCGAGAAGGCTCCTCTCTCTCTCTTCGGGCAGCCCTTGGTAAGCACATGTTTTTCCTTCGTCCACATCCCCAAACAGCAGTTCCTAGAGCTCAACACGGTCATACTACACCGAGCCGCACTTGCCGGAGACCTACGCAAATGAGGTTTGCCCTACCTCTCACAACCACGCCCAGTAGCCATTGCAGGAGTGTGCAGCAAGCCACGAGGAACCTTTTTTTGAGTGGCATGTCAATCTTGCCATCACTAACTACCGTATTTACTCGTGTGATTCTCGCACCCCCCCCCCCCCCCCATCGCCTAACAAAAATACGATTTTTTTTCCCCTCTAGTAATTATCACACCTCCAAAAATTGCCACAATAATGTCGTCTGCTCGTTCCAGCCGTTGACGATTATAGCACACGCCATCTGGCGGCATCTCTTAAGCATCAGGCGTACTATTATTGCACAGAGATTCAATTCAATCCAAGCCAAGCTAAAGCGGCAAGTGTGCGTTGCGGCGTGTTTTGTATGTTGTGTCGGTAATCTTGTCACGTTATGAGGCGATACTGAAGCTACACAGCTGCTTTCAAGTTGAAAGTGACTGATCGTGTACTAAACAGCCGCAACAGGGCTGCTGATACGCCTTTCGGAGTCGACGAGTTTTGTGTTCGCTACTGGTGACGGCAGCTGAAATCCACCAAGACGCGTTGGGCCTGCCGTGTGCTTAAGACTGGGAACTGATGGTAAACTTTATTTCTTCAGAAGAAAACTGCAGACGATTCTGTTAAATAACCATCAGCCCAATACTGACATGCTACGCTTACCTTTTGAGGGCTCCTGTTGAGCGAAGAACGCTACTGCTACGCCCGCAACCCCCACAAGCTTTGTGTATAGTATTCTAATTCTCGACTATTTGCTTGCACTTTTTGTATCTTGAATAAATCTTGTTGACCTCAACTTTTATTGTTGAGGAAGGCCACAGGTCTTCCAGTCCCGGCGTGGACGCGGCCAGCAGCTGCGGTGGACCCCTCATAGTGGGGTATCTGAGCAGTTCTCTAGGACCAAATAAAGTTTGTTTCACTTCACTTCATGTACACTTTGTTTGAAATGTTTCTTCAACACTTTGATAACAAGATGGGTTCACAGTGCAGGAGGGTCCTCCTTTCCCTGGACAATTGTGCTGCCTACCCAAGAGAGCTGCGTTTCTACAAAATGTCAAACTTTTTTTTTTTTTTCCTCCAAATACAACAAGCCACTTGCAGCTATTGGATCTCGGGGTCATAAAATGTGTGAGGCATTCGTACAGGAAAAGCATCATCAAGTGCTGTCTCACGCGTATTGGTCGTGGACAGCAGCCTAGAACAATTTCGGTACTTGACGCCATGCATTACGTTGCATCGGCGTGGAGTGCAGTGAATGCGTCAGCTGTAGCGAGGTGTGGGTTCCGTATGGACAGCAAAGGGGAGTCTGCCATCGAAGCTCAACAATTGGAAGCAGCCTTTTGTAAGCAAGAGCTCAATGAGGCAATCAATACCCTGGGTGCCACGGGTACGATGTACAACGGCTACGTCGCTGTGGATGCTGCCATTGTGACGTCGAAGTGCCAAACGATTGCAGAGATCGTTTCAAACTTGATCGCAACTGAAAAAGTGACTGCGATGACGGCGATGAGCACGAGCCACACGATTCTGAAGAGCTGGCAGTGGAGTCAGCCTATCTGAACTCTAGAGAAGCCGTCGTGGCCCTGGACTACCTTCGCAGCTACGTCGCACACCAAAGCAACGCTGAAAGCAATGTGGCATTCCAGATTATTGAAAAACGCATGTTGCTTCCCAGCGAGCAAAAGAAGTGGCAGTCAACTATCTTCAAATATTTTAAGATTTAGGCTTACCTTGCCAAAATAAATTGTTTGTAGCCAAAGTACCTGTGCTTTCATTTTTTTTTTTTTTTTTCGAAGCTGTTCTCACTTTTGCATTTTCTCAGCTGTTGTTTTTTTTTTTCTCACCAGCCAGCTGAAAAACGTATGAACGGGGTTCCACTTGGAAGAACTGATTGGTGGACGGGACGGCATCGTAAGTACCTGCTATCTATATTTGCCCGACAGCACTGTGGTAAAGCGGCTCGTGCAGCTACTGTACACTCTGGAGGCCTCCTAACGACATCTGTGGGTGCAGAAGATTGTTGTGACTTCAATAGCAGAAGACCAATCATTATCATTATTTAGCCTCGTCACAAACTGCACATAACCTTGTGGCAGCACCGCCTCTCCATTTTTTTCCTTTTTTTTTTTTTCAGTTCCGTTAGAGCTTTCTTCTTAATTGCAAGACGTGTTCACTGCTCGATATTAATCATACCGCAGTTAAAAGGCTTAGAGGTCAGACACCGGCACACTGCACGATGCATGCTCAACGTTGGCGCACAGAACACTCGTTTTTGGCTAAAATTGAGAGTTTAAGTTGCTTTTGATTACACTGATGCAGGCCAAATCATGACTCTGACTAAAACAGAAACAATAAAATGAGTAAATTAAAATATTGATTCAGCGAGGCTTGAACCAAGCTCATCAACACACACAGCAATGTGATGCTGATATGCTACCCACTACACTACACTTGAAAGATAGAGTGGTGTGTTTACTTTAAACCAGATTCCAGTAACCTATAATCTAATCACCTTGTTTAGAAATGCATATTTCTGTCTCTCAGTGCTCACCTTACAGTAGATGGTAATTCATTTTTTATGTGTTGCCCAGAATCAGAATGTCTATTGGCACGTTTTGTCAGAAAACATACTAGTGTAACCACAGATGTAATCTGTATTCAACTTCCATGCATACACACTCAAATGTTTGCGGGTACGTTGAGTTCACCAGACAACAGTTGGCCCCTACCGGAAGTGAGTGATTTTTTAAAGTTTGCAACAAAATCTTTCCATATTTAAGTTTGTTTATTTAACAAAAAAAGCTGTTATGTTGTCACGAGGCATGTTCGTTGTCGGAATCCACAAAAGACGAGGGTGCAAAAAACCAAGCTTTATTAAAGAGGCTAACTTGTGTCTTGTACAAAAGAACAAGCCGAGCCAGAGTGGCGGGTACACGCACGGCTGCTGCCAAGCGAAAAGAATAACCTGCAGCTTATGTTCTGGCAGTACTTAAGCACTGGGTAGTGACACAAAACATGCTCATACGTGTCATCAGATATTACCGTATTTACCGAAATCTAACAAGCCCCCGATTTTAACGCGCACCCCGATTTGGCAACAAAACAAAAAAGAGTGAGAGACCCGATTCTAACGTGCACCTGAATCAGAAAAAAAAAAGACGTGCCTAATTGGAACGAGCATGTGATTTTCGCAAACGAACGGGAGAAAAATGGAGCAAAGCATTTTCAGCAAGAAAAAAAATGTTTATTTACCTAATCGCTATCACTCTCAGAGAGCTCTTTGTCACTCTCAGACCAGAGAATCTCGTTTTCAGCTCCGTCCACAGCATTAAAATTGCACATTTCTTGAAGGCTTTCTCAACTATGCAAAATGTAATCCCATTTCAAGCTTCAGCCACCCACCTTGCCATGTCTTCAATCGAGGCAAGCTCCAGCCAGATGCCTGATGTGTGGCTCCCGTTGACTAGCCACTCGCTATACAGTGCCCGCAATGCGGTCTTTCATGGGCTTGTTAAAGCAAACGTCCAGCCGCTGAAGCTGACAGGTCAAGCCACCTGGCTCAACCTGTTTTATCCTTCACGCGCTGATCCAGGTGACACTTGAATGCGCCAAGCACAAGCATGGAGCGAATCGCCAAGTTGGCGCCTGGTCTATTGGGCCATACACAGTCAATCTAGTCAATAACAAGTTGAGTATCAATCCAACCTTTTTCGTTGGTACACACTATAATGCCTCACGAGAAGTTTATGTTCTTTGGAAGCGTTTTACGTTTAAATACAAGAAAAGAGAGAAACTTGGCGCCATCTGCTGTGCACGCCAGCATTGTCGTAATTCGAATCTTCTCGTTGCCCGTCGTTAGCAAGCGGACTTGTTTTGCCCCTCTTGACTCGACAGTCGTATTAGAAGGCATGTCAAAATATATAGGAGTTAGATCTGCGTTTCCTATTTGTCCAAGTAGATACGTGTTATTGCGCCGCAACGAAATTATGTATTTCTGAAAAGCAATCAGCTTTTGCTCAAAAGCCTCCGGGAGCTTCTAGCCCCCGCCAGTTTGCCTGTGCAAGGAAAACCTCTTCCGGTTCATGAACCGCGTTATCCAATTTCAGCTCGCCTTGAAATCGCTTTTCGAGAGGCGTCGACTCCTGGCTATTTCGTACGCCTTTACTTTAAGCACCTCAATTGTGACAAGCATGCGGTCCACTCAAAGCTGCCTCACGAAGTCGGCAAGCTCATCTTCAAGGCCGGGAAATTTTCCAGTTAGTGGTCCGTGGTGGCCTTAGCTTGACGGCTTGCTGGTAAAAATTTCTTTTTTCAGCTTTTGTCAATCACAAACACAGGTCTCCGGCGCGCCGAAATAACGAGCCCCCTCCCTGTTGCCGTTCTCTTCCACGCACACAATAACTTTACATTTAACACCATTATCGTGACGGACACTACGCCTCTTCGAGCATGAAGACCCATTGGGACTAGGGACGATACTGCACAGGCTGAACTCAAAAAGGCAGCAATAACAAAGGAGGGGAGAAAAAATACACACACACTTCTGCAATAGTGCCACGACAACTGTGATGCAGGTAATGTGGGTAGAGTGTACTAAAACAGGAGAGTTCTCGGAACAGCCGCAGCACCAATGTTTCAAAAGTGAAGCCCAAACAGGGTCAATCCGCTTGTGAGGCTGCGATCGACATTCTACATTGTGTCATCATTTTAAGAGCTGCACCCAGCTCCGTCGAAGTGAACGAGGAGTAGAATGCTCGCTTCCTACTCAAAAGACCCAGGTTCGAACTGCAGCTTTGGACGGTAGATTTTTTTTTTATTTTTAGTTTCACTTGTTACAGTTGTATCAGTTTGTCTTTTTTTTTATACCAGTTCCAGTTGCTACATATTTTTGAAAAAAATCACCCAAAGTATGAAGTAAAGAAGTAGAAACTCAACAGCAAGCATACTAGCACTTTATCGGCGGCTCCCCAGTACGCTGACTGTTAATTTCTTCTCCTCTACTTCATATTTTGCGTAATTTTTAACAGAAAGAAGTCTCAACTGAACCTAGATGTAAAAAAAAAAGTGAAGCAATAGAGCTGTGCAAGTGAAATCAAGAATGAAAAAAATCTGCCATCCACAGCTGTGATTGGAACCTGAGTCTTGAGTGGGAAGCGAGCATTCTACCCTTCGACCAGTTCAACAGAGCCGCACACAGCTCTTAAAACGCCGACACATCGCAGACTACCCATTGCAGCGCCACAAGTGGATTGGCCCTGTCTGGGCTTCACTTTTCGGAACTCGGTCCGGGCACTCCCCTGTTCAAGTACACTCTAACGAGGGAAAGAAAGCGTGCTACCATGGTTGCCAGCAACAAGTTGCTTGGGGCTGCTTAATAACGATGACGGTAGGCTGCGATGGGGGAGCCAGTTTTAGTTTGTACCCAATTCTAACATGCATGCGAATTTTCTACCCATATTTCTCGAAAATAAGTGCACGTTAGAATTGGGTAAATACGGTACCCTGCAATATACAATGGGCCCATCGAATGTGCAAAGCTTATCTCAGCCGACTATAACCTGTGTAAATGGCGCAACTGCTGTTGTTTGACGGTACCAGCAGCGAAGCCTGGTGCAGCACGTGGCAATATACACAGTGTCAACAGGAACAAGCACATCTGATCCAAACAGTACTCTCAATTTATGTCGGCTGTTGGCCAATAATCTATTGCGATGTGCGACGACAGACACCCACCTACCGACAAGAGTGAGAACCGGTTTTTGTTTAAAAAGAGAAAACTTGAGAAAACAGCAACTTTGCGCTCCACTAGTAGTTTTTACTCAGCAAGCACGGTCGGAATATTTGGCTGAGCAGTTCATAGCCGTGCCTGCTTTCTGCAGGGTACGCTTTTTCAACAAGCCCGAGGGCTGCGACATGACCCCTCTAATGCTGCTTGTCATGAGTAAAGGGGCACAAGGGACGTGCTGAAGGTTTTAAAGTGGCTATGATGTGCGGAGCTGCAGAAAAGTACTCGATGATATGCACTCTGCCATGTCTGCGCACGCAACTGTGGGATGGAGAGCTGACAGTGCGCGACCCAAGCCACGGTGGAAAACCCAGAAGATGACGTGGCCGTCGAGTGCTGAATGAAGATCCAAGGAGTCGGCGCCGCTTTCAAATTCGAAGCACCAGTAGTCTGCATCTGGACGAAGCAAGGTGAGGGTACCAGAAAGCAGCTGCTGATCTCGGTAGACACTGAGAGATGCCCTGTGCACCTGCAGAACCTTGTACAGCAGTTACCGGGACACCTATCACTCTTAACCTTCTTAACCGGATGGCTGCACGACACACCTTTGGCTCGTGCCCCTTTACTGATGACAGGACTGGTTCTGTCACTGTCAGTGGTACTTCTCTTGAGAACAAAAAGGGCTCTGAAAAGATGCCTGCTTTCAAAGCATAGCTAGTTTCAGCACATAGCCAGTATGTTGTTACTATGCAACACACTGCATAGCTTGTTGTTGAGCTAGTTCGTTTGTTACTTGAGAAAAAACTGGTATGGTGCAAAAAGAACTCAGATGAAGTGAAGACATGAACTTATAGACACAGGCACCTCTTTTCTTTTTATTTATTGTTTTTCAGAGCCACAGCAATGCCATAAGTGACTATGAATGATCCTCTGTAGTTTCTAAACTTGAGTGATCACACTGGTATTAGTAAATATACGGTGCATGTCATACACATGCAATTAAGAGAAGAGTATTGTGCCCCATTAGCCCCTTCCAAATTTTACTACGCTTTCTTCTGTGACACCAGTGTAGTGCCGCCAAAGTGACTTGAGCATTCCTCATGTGCCACACCAAGACCAGAAAATTTGTCATTATTTTTATCCCACCATGGTGCTCGGAGTGTGTAGGCGTCTTGAATTGAGCTGGTTGGTATATACTGACTTTGAAAGAAGAAACAGTGTCCAATGCTGTGGAACATGGCCTGCATAGAGAAAATGATCTGATGGCATTGTCAAGACTCTACACTTGCCCGACAGCACTGTGGTGAAGCAGCTTGTGCAGCTACTGTATCCATTGAAGGCCACCCAGTTCTGTCTGCGTCTTCTCGTCTCCGTTCTGTTTCAGCGCAGCTTTTTCCTTTCAAATGCTTATCAGGAGAGAGTCTCCTGCGAAACCTGGGTGAGGTGGCAAGTTCACCAACAATTGTGTACAGTGATGTTGTGTTCCTTTGCCATCCAGCAGCTTCCTCTTTGGGATAAGATATAGCTTGCTACAATGAAGCAAAGAGATAGGAAACACAACTTCGCCTCAACCTTGCCACAAAGCTTGTAGCCAGTGTGAGCAGTAACACAGCATCGCGGCACTTACGCCGACTGTTTGCTGCATCATGCAGACAACCAGCCAAAGTGTTTGGCTTGGCACCCATACTCGCATTTGGGTTCCGCACAACCCAGGCTTCCACAACCATGCGGGCAGCATCTACATGTATCTCCGGGGGGGCAGTACTCCTTTGTAACGTTGTGGGCAAAAATCAATCAGGAACAGCACTCTACGAAAAAATCTTACCACCCCTAAAATTCACCAGAGCCATGATGGAATCAACGAGATCCACAGTAAAACCAATAATCAGTGAGCCACACTTACCTGTGCACTGCTTCCACCAGTGTATCGTGATCTACGCCAACACCAGCTACCACCATGCGCGATGGGGTGAAGTGGTGGCTCAGGTAGGTGTACAGCACCTGGCGTTCAATCACAGCCACATTCTCCCGGGGACACAGCTTAGGCAGGCCCAATGTGTTGCTACCATATGCAGCCTGCACAACAGTCAACAAAGCACACCTCTTTCTGAACTGTTTATGACATGTCCCTAAGATCAAAGGAAGCATCTGGCCCTGAAGACACACAAAGAGGTCATTCAAACCACATGACGCTTCACCCTTACAGGTGAAACCTTCCAATGTGCAATGTTTCACAAAACATCATTTTTTTCTTTTTAGAGTGAAGCTTCCCTTGCTTTTTTTCTCCCACTTTCTGGGCACACTGCTCCGGTTTTTGACGTACCACCAGATAGGGACCACCTCCACGTAACTGAAGTGTCAGCTGTGCGGGGAAAAGCAAGATAGGACGACCCAGACGCGGTGCACTTGTGGCTGCATCGCAACACAGATCGCAATAGTACTCTGAAGAAGTGTAGTAGCAGGGCCAGTTGGCATGAGCCATTAGGCATAAAAACAGCACAAAAACTTTGAGGCAGACATAAAAAAATGCTAAGCACACAGACAAGCACTTCTTGCCGTGGTGTGCCTCCTTCATGTCAGTTTATAACTGCTTTTAAGGTGGGCCCATACTCGGACCACGCTATCAGTCAGCGCAAGATGCATGCCAGCGAAATGGCATGAAAGTGTGCTCACAGCATCGACGAAAAGGAGTGTTGCACAAAACAGGTATGGCATTGCAGTGCAGCATGCTTGCTCGAAGGCAAAGCTGTCATTGAGGATAGGCACTTCAGCAAATTGAGAAATTGAAATGAACAGTGATTTGGAGAAATAAATACACACCAATTAGCTTGAATAGTCTAATATTGAAGAGAGCATTTCTGCATTGACTCCACTAAGTTGCACAATATATCAAGATTGCAAGGGGGTTCAAAATGAAGAGAATAAAACTTTCAATAGCAATAGGGTGGAATTTACAAGCTGCAAAATATGTAACGCTTTAAAATTTGCTATATTAAGTAAAAACTTAGTGCCCTTATTTCAAGATATAGGTAACCTCAAAGATAGGCTTTGTGGCTGTGCATGTTTTCTTTGCGTACACTGTTTCATGGCACAGCAGTCCAACACTGCAGTGAAACCACCTTCTAAAGGAGTTCACATCAGCTCAGCTGCACTCACTCCCGGCTTCTATAATAATAATATTAATAATAACAATAATAATATAATTGTGAAGAAGAAGATGTGCCTGCAGCAAGCAGCATCGCCAACGCCCTGCTCTCTCGGCTCGTGCTTCGGTTCGTTGTTGTGCCGATCGCTGGACGGTTCTTCACGCTGTCTCGTGGCTGTCTTTAACGGCTAATAAACCTCTTCACATTTGGTGGAGGTGCTGTTAATCCCCGTTGCTACACCCTGGAGCTGCGAGCCGCACGCTACCATCTGTCATGACTGATAACACCACTACATCGGCGCCTTCGCCCCAGTTCAACTGCCCTAGCCATCCTAGGCTACAGACCCGAAGGTCTTCAGCGGTGCGGATGGGACCGACGTCGAAGACTGGATCGAGCACTACGAACTGGTGTGCGCCAACAATAAGTGAGATGAAGCCGACAAGCTGGGCCACGTCATATTTTATCTCACTGGCGTCGCCGAATTGTGGTTTAACAACCACAAACACAACATCCCCACATGGAGCGTGTTCAAGACGTCATGTGCTGAAGTGTTCTGTCAGCCGGCTGTCCACAAGCAGCGGGCAGAACAGCGCTTGCGCGTCCGCTCTCAGCAGACTGGTGAGACCTTTACCAGCTATATTGAGGACGTCGTCTACCTTTGTCAACGTGCGAATGACACCATGCCCGAATCTGACAAGGTCAAACGCATACTGAAGGACATCGACGACGGCGCATTTCAAATGCTCTTGGCGAGAAATTCGAGCACAGTTTCGGAAGTCGTCAGCTTGTGTCAGAGCTACGACGAGTTGAAGAAGCAACGCACTCTGACATGGCAGCCTCAGCGTGGTGGTGAGTCACTGTCCAGTTTCGACACCCTGCCTGACAATTCACCGTTGCTTCAGCAAGTCCGAGCCTTCGTCTGTGAGGAAGTCGCCCGCAAACTTTTCCTAGTGCCCTTCACTCACGAGACCACCACCCGTCTACCTGCCACGCTTAGCACTGCTATTTCGGAAGAGGTTACCCAAGCTGTTTCTCTTGCGCACCACGAGCCGCCTCTATCCAGCCGTGTTCACTGCCAGCGTGTCGCGCAGCCGGTAGGCCCTCCTGTCGCCTATCCGCCAGCCGTGCAGCCTGTGGCCGCACCCCTAACGTATGCAGCGCAACCTGTGGCTCCTCCTGTCGCCAGTTCGCAAGAGATGCAGCCTGTAGCAGCGTCGTTCACATATGCAGACGCTGTGCATAGGCTTCCGCAACCACCCTACACCTCGCGCTCACAGCCAGCACACCCGGCTGCTTATACTGCACCTTGGGCGGCACCACCAGTCCCCAATCCTTGGAGGACGCCCGATAACCGATTGATATGCTACGCCTGCTTCACTCCCGGATACATTGCCCGCTACTGCCGCCGTCGACCTCAGACGTTCGGCGACTATGTCCAATTGTCGCAACCCGGCAGCCAACCCTTTGCGCAATACGGGCCGGTCTCGTCACCTTGCTATGCCCCTCCCAACGACCGCGACTTCGTGATGACGCGCGCATCCTCTCCTCGTCGCTGACTCAGACCTTCTGACCAGGAAAACTAAGCACCGCAGTTCAAGAGGCAAGAACTGCGCCATTTTCGAACTGTCTAAGTCCTCGTCCCTCTGCTGCTAACGCGGTCGCAGTAACTGTTGAAGGTTATTGTACTTTCGCCCTGGTGGACACCGGCGCCGCTGTGTCTGTTATTGCCGCTAATGTCTGCCGTGTATTACGTAAAGTCACGACACCCCTTTCGGGACTGTCACTCCACACCGCAAGTGCACAGCAAGTAACTGCCTCTCGCAGCCTCCACTGCCAGAGTGTCCATCGACGGCATTGTTTACATTGTGGAGTTTATTGTCCTCGCTGTCTGTACGCATGACGTCATCCTCGGATGGGACTTCCTATCCCCCCATAATGTCATCATCGACTGCGCACGCGCTGAAGTTGAGTTTTCACCCTTTCGTGATGTCCCATTTCTTGGTGCTCTTCGTCAGCTGCCGAAGTTGTTCGTGCATGAAGATACCGATATTCCACTAGAAAATTTCGCACTTGTTCCAGTTTCATGCAATGCCTACACTGACGCTACAGTTTCTTATGCCTTCCGATATCTTAAGGAGTCGTCGAGCTCTGCCGCTGCCTTTCGCAACGATTGACCTTGCCGTCGGAAGAAGCAATATTTTCATACTCGACCCGCTTTCCACACCTGTCACTTTGCTTGCGGTGGAATGTCTCGGCCGCATGCACCATCTCGATTCTTCGTCTTTGGTTGATGTCCCGGATGACTACTGTGACCACTCAAAATCACTGTCGGCCCTCGAGGAGCCGTCCAAGGATACGTTTTCGAGCGCCATCGCCGACACCCTCACTCCCACCGAACACGCCGACCTGCTTGATCTTCTGCATGAGTTCCGGAATTCTTTCGATGTGTCGCAACCTCAACTAGGCCGCACGTTGCAAGTCAAGCATCATGTTGACACCGGCCTACACCAGCCACTGCGTCAAAGACCATACCGTGTCTCCACTGAAGAGCGCCACGTCATCAACGATCAAGTCGAAGATATTGTCACGTATTGCAGGCAGTCTCTGCGGCAATATGCTTCGTAGAGACGTCTTCGACCATCTCACAGTCCCTGGGTGTCTCCTGTCGTCGAACGGATCTATCCGATTTTGCGTGGACTATCATCGTTTGAATAAGATAACCCACAAGGACGTATATCCTTTGCCACGCATTGATGACGCCATTGACACACTTCACGGAGCAGAATTTTTCTCGTCGCTAGATTTGCGGTCTGGCTGCTGGCAAGTTCCAATGACTGAAGCTGATCGCCAAAAAACTGCATTTATTACACCTGACGGACTATACGAGTCTAACGTCATGCCCTTTGGGCTTTGTAACGCGCCTGCCACGTTTGAACGACTTATGGAAAATACGCTACGTGGCCTCAAGTGGAATATGTGCCTCTGCTACCTCAACGATGTCAAGGTTTTCTCGCACGACTTTCCTACGCACCTCCTTCGCCTCAGGCACGTTTTGACTTGCCTCGACCAACGCTGGCCTGCAGCTTAACTTGAAAAAATGCCGCTTCGCTGCACGTGAGCTCGTCATCCCAGCCACATCGTGTCGAAGCACGGCGTATTACCTGACCCAGCAAAAATTCCAGCAGCCGCAGAATTTCCCAAGCCGACGACCATGAAGGAACTTCGCAGTTTTGTAGGCCTCTGCTCTTATTTCGGCGCTTATTTCCGGCGCAATTTTGCATCGATCATGTCACCATTAACCCAGCTTCTTCGCGGTGACGTGAACCTCTCCTCCTGGTCCCCTGCATGTGATGTTGCCTTCACTACTCTGCGCCGTCTGCTCACCTCCCCACCTATTCGTCGCCACTTCAACCCGACGGCTCCTACTGAAGTGCACACCGACGCCAGCAGCGTCGGGCTAGACGCTGTCCTCGCTCAATGAAAGCCCGGCTATTCAGAATACGTTGTAGCCTACGCTAGCCGCACTCTGACGAAAGCCAAAACTAATTACAGCGTGACAGAAAAAGAGTGTTTAGCTCTGGTGTGGGCACTTGGAAAGTTCCAACCGTACTTATATGGCCGCCCGTTCATTCTAGTAACTGATCACCATGCTCTTTGCTGGCTCTCCACGCTGAAAGACCCCTCTGGCCGCCTTGCGCGATGGGCACTCCGCATCCAGGAGTACAACATTCGCAGTCGTATACCGCTGCGGACGCAAACACTATTACGCTGACGCCCTGTCCCGCTCACCTTTGCCATCAGATCCGACGTGCGGAAACACGTGCCTCCAGACCTTGTCATCGTTAAATCTTGACTGAATTGCCACCGAACAACATCATGACCTGTGGATCGCATCTCTTCTGGAATATCTATCCGGTACGCCCAACCTTC